CATTCGTTCCTGAGTCCTCCATCCATCCATCCATCCTTCCATCCATCTCTTTCAATCCATCCATCCAACCATCCATCTCTTTCAATCCATCCATCCATCCATCCATTCATCATTTAAGCAGTGTAGCTATCCTTTTGTCCATCCACTCATCCATCTGTCTACCAATCCATCTCTCCATCCATCCATCCATCCATCCACTGTCCACCTCACTATAGTCCATCCATCCATTCTTCTGTCTTTCAGATCCATCCATCCATTCATCCATCTCCAATCCATCTCCCCATCTAGCCTTCTGCCCATCTATCTATCAGTCTATCCATTTGTCCATTCTTCTGTCAGTCCATCCATCCATCCATCCATCCATCCATCCATCCATCCATCCATCCATCCATCCATTTATCTATCTGCTAATACAGCTGTCTGTCCATGGACGGATTCTGCATCCATCCATCTCTTTCTCATGCCCCCATCACCACTTTCTCCAACCGCCAGCAACTTTGCCTGACATTAGGGGAGGGATAGCTCAGTGGCTTGAGTGCTAAACCCAGGGTTGTGAGTTCAGTCCTTGAGGGGGCCATTTAGGGATCTGGGGCAAAAATCTGGCTGGGGATTGGTCCTGCTTTGAGCAGGGGGCTGGACTAGATGACCTCCTGAGGTCCCTTCCAGCCCTAATCTTCTATGATTTTATGACCTGCTGTAATGAATTTAGGCTTACAAAAGTTACAAAATGTCTATTAAAGCTTACAAAAGTATTACTGCCTTCCACCCCATTGGCTGCTCTTGGGAGGAAGTGGGAACAGCGGCCAATAACAATGTAGTCCACCCCCTGTGGCTCTGCCCTCTATGGGGGAAGCATTTGGTGTTGGTGGCAGCGCTGGGATGCTATCCATCGGGGGATCCTAACATGCTCTATGTCTGTCTGTCGTCCCCTGCTCCCTCTCCCTCGCAGGCAGCAGCCCCCTGGACAGCCCGAGGAACTTCTCCCCCAATGCACCCGCCCACTTCTCCTTCACCACCTCGCGCAGGTAAGGGCTGCGCCGCCCCCTTGGTGCCAGTCTCCGGGGAGTGGAACGAGTTTACCGGGCCTCAGCCCAGTTCCCAGGTGTCTTCACCATAAACAACCTTCTCCCTCCACAGCTAATCGACACCCTCCCACCCGCCAGCAGCCTCAGCACAAAACACCAAAGCCTGAACTGGCTCTAGAGCTGGGGAGAGAAGCCAGGAGTCCTGACTCCCAGCCCTCCCCCCCCCCGCTCTACCCATTACACCCTACTCCCCTCCTATATCTGGTAATAGAACCCAGGGGTCCTGGCTCCCAGCCCCCCCACTCTAACCACTAGACCCCACGCCCCTCCCAGAGAACCCAGGAGTCCTGGCTCCCATCCGATCCCCTGGCCCACGCAAGAGGCTGCAGCTGCCGCTCCCTGCTCTGATTACAGCCCTGCCCACCCACACCAACCCCTGCCAAGAGCCTGGGGAGAAATGGCGCCGTCTCCTCCCGGTCCTGGCGTCCCTCGGCTGAACCAACTGGTGGAAAGTGCCGCTCCCTTCTCCATTCCGGCCCATGGGGCGCGAGGTCTCTGTCCCTCCGCATGGCGCCTTCCCCATGCGCCTTGGCGCAGGGACGGGGCGAGGGACTGGTGGAGCCGGCTTGGGCCAAAGCCAGGAAGGGAGTGTGAGCAGGACAGGGCCAGGGAGCCAGGACTCCTGGGTTCGCTCCCCAGCTCTGGGAGGGGCGTGGGGCCTAGGGGTTAGAGCGGGGGGGCTGGGGGCCAAGACCCCCGGGTTCTCTTACCAGATTTAGGAGGGGGGTAGGG